GGGGGGGGGGGGGGGGGGGAGAGGAAGGGGGGGAAGAGAAGGGCAGGAGGCGCATTCCTGCAGATTACTCCAGAGTTGCTACCTTGGACCTCGTTGTTAGGTACAGCCAGGTGAAGGATTCCCAGGAGAAAATTGACCAGTTCTGGGACGAATCTTTGAGACATGGATGTATATTCCAGGAACAGACAGCAAACCAACAGCCCTTTCACTACATCTTGTTCAGTTCTTACTGCGCACTAAAAAACAGCCAGAACAGAAAACTCAGGTGATGTCTACACTTCATGAGCTTGACGCCACCGCCTGCGCGTCCCGCGTCCCAAGGCCGCGTACACAGCCCTTCCTCCTCCACCTTTTCCCTACAACCACCCTGTGGGGTCGCTGGGCCGAGGCAGCAACCGGCCCGAAGCCATCCGTGGAGGCTCCGTGGTTGAGGGCGGGTCTGAACTTGCGTCTCCCCAGACATTCTCCAGTACCTTAACTATTACACCACTCTGGCGTTGTTTTAATGCATTTTCCTGATTTTTCCAGGGCAATAACAAGAATTTTGTACCATAATTTTGTACCATGATTTCTGTATCTTTCCCACAGGTGATGTGAAGATTAAAAGCTTATTAAGATTCTGGTTTATCTTTCCTTCCTACATACAGATAACACATGTTCTGAATAGTCCTTCCAACTGTATGTAGTTAGAAATGAATCTTCACTGAAAAAGGTGAAAGATAAAATATGAAACTAGAGGTGCTACTTTCTTTTGACAGTTCTTCAATATGTTGAACGTTTTAAGAAGGAAAGAGAATTGTCCCGCCCTGTAATGATCATGGATGAACCAATGGGGATGGGAATAGTCAGTTTTGGGGTTGGCTGGTTCCCTAGTCTTACCTTTGACCGATATTATCTGGTCACAGGCTGAAATAATATCACCATCTCTTGGATTTTACTGTATTTAATAACTGTATTTTATATTTGTATTATTTACGTTTTTACTGATTTTAAATTGTTTTGTTGTGATCTGCCCAGAGTCCCTCCTTGTGGGGGAGTTGGGCGTGATACAAATTTGACATATAAATAAATAAAATAAAATAAAATAAAATAAAATAAACCAAATATGAAGGCATGATATACAACTGCAGGGCCCATCACAAGACTACTGTCCCGCTTCCTTCTTGCCACCGCCCCCTCGGAACTCACATCTTTGTCTGGCAGCTTCACAGCAGATTCCTCTGTCGCAAAGGAGACAGCCAGAACCAAACCCACGTATCACAATGCAGAACATTTCCCTGGATCCTGGAACGAAGAGCCACCCTACATCCAGGACGTGCGGGAAGTGCTAAGGACTCTCCTGGGGCTCCTGATCACCATCCTTAGGGGCAGTTCCACTTTCTCAGGCCCTGGGTGGCAAGCCCATCCTTACGTACAGTCAACCACCCAACCTGAAGCAGATTCTCACAAGCAACAAGAAACAGCAGGACAATAACGGGAACCAGACCCCAACAAGCATACAGAAAAGATTAGAGGGACTTTTACACACTCTTCTTTTAATGGGATATACAGGTAGTCCTTGACTTACGACAGCAATTGGGACTGGAATTTCTGTTGCTGTGCGATGTGGTTGTAAAGTGTGATGTCATATGACCGCTTCGCTTAGCGACGGCAATCCTGGCAGTCCTGGTTGCTGTCGTAACCCCAGGACTGTGCAGGTCGTTAAGTGAGGATTTCATGTGACCATGATGTGAGAAGAGGCAGGAGTCCCAGGCAAGCAGGTTGGCAGGTGAGAAGTATAGGCAGGGGGTGGGTGCCATGGATGGGCACTAGGGACTGTGGGTAGGCAGCTGGGTGCTGTTTGCCCCGCTGGGAAGGGAAGGGGCCAGGGCTGCGAGTCTTCCATGCTGTGTGCCACTGTCAGCCAGGGCGACCCTCCCACTGGGCAGCGAGGCAGGGATGTTTCCGCAGCACCTCAACTGCGCGTGGCCAGGATTCTTGGCGGCTACTTGGCCAAGGGCTTCCCATGCAGCAAGACAGCTGGAGAGGGAGGCGGTGGTGAGGGCGCCTTGCACAGCATGGTTGACAGAGCCCCCATGTCATAGGTCTTGAGGCCAGCTGGTGTTGGCGAACCCAGCAGAGGGGAGACAGGCGAAGGAGACAATGAAGGTCAGCTGGGAGGGACGGGGGGACAGTCGTAAATGTGGGCCAGTTGCCAAACGTCTGAATTTTGATCACGTGACCACAGAGGCACTGCAATGGCTGGAACTTTGAGGATCAGTTGTAAGTCCATTTTTTTCAGACTTCAAGCTGCAGTGGCTGAGTAACTAAGTAAGGAAGGGGAGGAAAAGATGGGTGTTGTACGGGAAGTTGCTTGCAAGCTGGAACAGGCACCCAGGCCATCAGAGGAAGCAACAGTAGAATTGCAGAGAATAAATGTCCTTGTTGGTGGAAGACTGAAGACAGGGAAGACCCCCACCAGCCTTACCCTACCTAGCTGGTTTGTACATCTTAGAATTTTTTGAACCATTTTCTCATCTTTAATAAACATTCAATCAAAGGACACAAACTCCAGGACTTGCTCTTGTTCTTCACTGTTTATGTATAACTTGCAACTGTTCACTCCATTTTCCTCGTAAAACACAGCTATCTTGGGTTTTGATACACTGATTCTCAGATTCATACTCCTTGTTGCATCATACAATCTAATAACATTTGTTGCAAATATTTCAAGTTCTCAGCCATCAACAGGTCATCCTTTGCACACACAAATACATGAACGTCCCCGATGTCACTACAAGCATTCCTTATACTTTTATCCTTAAATACATTAAATCGTAATGGGGACATCATATAACTTATGTTCTGCTCAATGCTGAACTATCTTTCGATTTATCCATGCTTCACTTCCATCATCTATCCCTCTTGCTTCAGTTGGCAACCAACTTTTAACCTGGTATTCATACAAAACATTCCATAGTTCAAGCCTGTTAACTATGTCCATTTTTTATCCTAGACCAACAAATGCACAATTAACTTCCTCACTCATACATTTCTCAATGAGGTGTTGAAAAACAAAACTCCGGTCTGAACTTTCTTTCCCAAGTTTGCTTATTTTCACCTCTCTAGGACCTCAGAAGCGTGCCTTTTCCATTGCAGCACCTGGACCACCAGAGCCTGCTGGCTTTCTGTAAAGCACTGAAGATCTGGGCTGAGGGCTGGGAGGTTAGATGGCCCACTGAGAGGTCTCTGTCAATTGCTTTGTTTGGGTTTGCCCTTGGGGACCAGTGTTGGTTTTTTATTTTTTGATAATATTGTTTTTTAAATTGTTTTAATGTGTTGTCAGCTGCCCAAAGTTGCATTTGTGAGATCAGCAGCCACACAAATTGATTTAATAAATAAATAAATAGTCAATAAACAAACTAGAAGATGTGAGGATTACATGAGCTATCTAAAATGTATCACCTGGCCAAATCAAATTATTGTTAGTATTGTTGCCAAACAAAACTATTGATGATTACTATTTCAAATTCACCTTTACACTTTTTAGCCAGATTATGTGAAATTTTTTGTCAGGAAAAATGGTGAAAATGTACCTTTGTCAGCAGTTGGCTCATATAAACCAATGATGGTGTTACTACTGGATGCCAGAAATCGGAAGTTGGAAAAAGAACCGTAATAATTTTCAAATATAGCAGCTGAAAAACATAAAGGTTAACAGTATTAATGAAATTCCTTCTGTTTTAAATAAAGTTACGATTTACTCTTGCAGCATCCATCACCATGGTATTCTGGAAGAAAAGAGTGCAAATCAGTTCCACTGCATTGTGCTTTATCAGCTGAAGCATGCAATGGCTGTTGAAGTCAGTTTTGGTGACCACGGGTTCCCTAACTGTCTCTCCATCTGCCCCGGTTGCCGTCCCCTCCTGCAAATAGTTCTCCTTCCATCCGCTTGAACCCACTGAAGCAACGTAGGAGCTAAGAAGCTCTGCGGGCTCCCACCACCTGTTACTGTTCTTCTTGTTTCTCCACGCAGCAACACGACCCTTCCTTTCCCTTCCTCTTACCTACCAAGGCAGCCTCTCTTTCCGCCCCTCAGTGATTTTCTATTTCTGATACATCTCCCCCTTAACCCTCTTTCAGATCTGCTTTCAGCTCTGCTGAAAGATCCCTGTGCATCCTTTTTTTCTCACTAGAACAGTGCAGTTGTGCTTTCACTACCTGATTTTTGGGAAGTTCCCAACTTCCTGCACTCCCCTTGACCTGAGGGTTTCTGTGGATGGGATCCTTTCTACCGCTTCTCTTACTGGTTCTCTGAAACCTAGTGTGCCTGAAAGGCTGTACTCCAATTTCTCTCTCTGTAGGATCTTGAACCCAACTTCCTCCCAAGGTTCCCACTGCTTTTTCCTCTTCAGCCAGACAGCTCTTCCCTATTAGGAAAGCCAATCTCCTTGTGTCCCCTTTAGCCTTCAAGAGAATAAAGCAGTCAGCAAAATCACTGAGGAAGTTTTAGGAACTTGCAGTTCAGCTATGTTATTATTATTTATTTAAATTTATTGGCCATCCAACTCCAGTGGACTCTGGGGGGTCTTCCATTGATATCAACACTAGTTGAAGTCTCCCGTTATTTCCATGTTTCTCCTCTCTGAACATTCTGTTATCTAGTGCAGGAGGGCATTATCCAGATCTTCTGCCTGTTGTGGTGATCTACAACCTTCCCCCCCCACCCCCATCATTGCTGTTCCTTGTATTTTTAGCCAAATGCTTTTGATTGGGCTCTTGTGCTCAGATTTCTGGGTCTCAACAGATGTGTGCCCTCCAGTCGCAGGCGCTGCCACTCCTCCACTGGTAAATCAGAGGAATTTATTGAAAGCCTGCCAGCAGTCGCTGTCACTGGAAGGCACACCGTGTTTGTAGAGAGCCATAAAGGTGATCCCCAAGACTGGAGAGGGAGAGACCGTGCTGAGATTCTCCTCAGACGTGAATGTTGGCACGGCAGCACTGAATCCAAGAAGCGCAAAGCTGGTGTCCATTAAGCTTTTGGCAGGGGAGGAAGAGAAGAGCCGGAGGGACCCAGAAGGTGGGAGGGAGCTCTCAGTCAGCTCCCTGAAGGGCTTCATTGCAGGAGGAGATGAAGATCCTCTTCCAGCCTTGCTGGGTCAAGCGGGGCGAGCAGGATGGAGGGAGAGGGTTTCTGCCAGAAGCCCAAGCGACAGTGGCCGCCTACAAGGCAGGTAGGACTGCTCGCCTGCCTAGACAGAAGCTGCCGTGAAACCGGTTTCCTACCACAAGGCCTGAGATGGATCAAAGGTTCCAGCAGGAGCCCGTTTCCATCGTATTCAGAAAGGAGAATGCCTCTGTCACAGGTAGCAGAGCTGCCCTTGGCCAGCCTCCTGCCTGCCCCGTCTTTGCTAGCCGGACTGACATTCCTGCCTGCTCTGGTCCTCTTCTGAGGATATCAACTTCTCCCCTTTTCATTTCCCACCCTCTGATATGCTAAATAGCCAAAATGTAATATATACCATGTCTAACTCTGGAAATGCCAGAAGACCTTTCTCTTCTATAATTTCTTCCATGCTATGTGTAGCATCTTGAAGGAGAAGCTTCATATGATTACTTGCAGCTTTAGGAAACATTTGGCAAAGCTCGAACAAGATTCTGTTAACCAGAAGATGATAAAGTCAGTGTCAGACTGCATTATTTTTAAGAACAGCATCTTTCATTATAAGTGAACATGTATAACTCAGTTAAGTCAACATATACTTGCACATATTCATCTGACCCAATAAACTGATGCTCCTGAAGCACAAAATCTACCAGCTCTTAAACCATCTGGGAGAATAACCAAGATGTTAACAACAAGCTTGAATTCTTGATAAATTCACACATCAGAATTGCGTTTAAGTAAAATGCACTACTGTAAGAATCCCAATTAGTGTTACAAGCATTGTAAGGCTAGTCTGAAAATGGCCCAGATAAATCTAACTAGGATTCTCAGAAAGGCTGGATGGAAATGGAAATATTTCCCTTTAAGTTTAGGGGAGCCATGCCCTGCCAATATTCCCCCCCTTCCATCAGTACAGGTAGTTCTCACTTAACGAGCCTAACTGGGACCTGAATTTCCATCACTAAGCAAAGCGGTTGTCAGGCGAAATGTCACGTGACTGCACCATTTAGCAATGGCAGTTCCAGTAGTCCCGGTCGCAGTTGTTAGGCCAGGACCTCATGCTTTTTTTTAGAACAGCATCTTTCGTTATAAGTGAACATGTATAACTCAGTTAAGTCAACATATACTTGGACATAGTCATCTGACCCAATACTGCCCTGCCGCGCTCGCCTGCGCTTCAACTCCCCGCACCCGCCTATCCCCACCCACCTCTGCCCTTCTGGCTGCCCCGCCCTGCCCTCTACCGCCACCGCCTACCCCTGCCACCCTCAGCTGATCTTTGCTGTCTTCGTCCTGCTGCTGCTGTGTAAGTGTGCTTGGATACTGTATATAACGAGAGCAAACCCCACACTCCCTAGCACTGGCGATGTTACCTAGTCAAGTAATGAAACGTCCGCAAGCAAACAGCCAAGCTCAGAGAGTACCAAGGATGCCACTGTTCAACCCTGAGCTGCCGAGATTCTCTTCTATTGAATCTAAGCAATTATCTCTATCCAGCCACGTGCTCTGGTGTTGCTTTTCTCTCAGCGCTCCCCTCCCCAACCACCCCACTG